ATTATTATTATTGTATATCTTTTCTGTTGTTACACTCTTTGCTTGAAATAAATAAATAAATACAATGTATATTATGAGAAAATGAAAGTGTTTTTTGACCTTGGATGCATGTAAACCTATTGTAGGAGATAAGATGTAATGTTTTTAGAATGAATAAATGATCAAATGTAAAAAACAAAGTGTGTAAATGTTCTGTCACAAATAGCACAATGTATCGCACATCTAAATGATTTCGGATGCTCATTGTGGGACAGTGTGGTTCAAGGCTAACACACAAATGGCTATTATAATAAAGGAGAGGACAGCCAAATTTTCTCTAAGGTTATTGATTTACCCAGGCCAGGCTGCACTCTATCTTATGAGAAACTGGTGTGAGCTCTCAAAAGGATGAAAAACTTTCTAGAAATAAACATGAAAGATACACATTTGAGGGCAATTCCACCTTGAAGACTTCTTCCTGAAGGTGCACTCACTTTAAAGATCACAATGAATAGATCCCTATTGACATGTGCTTTAAAAGTTCACTGTTCTTTCTGGCTGTGGCCAGTGATATATATCATGCTATCATTAAAAACAAATGCAGGCACACCCGTGGTAATGTTAGTTTACCAGCAGCTCTAGACAAGCTGTCACCCGGAGCTTTGTGTCTGATCAAAGGCGAGTATGGGTATATGAAGTCAGATGAGCAAAGAGAAGCAAATACCTTTGAGGTGTTAATGGATGTTCAGAGGAGGGGTTAGCTTTTAGAAAACCTTCTGAAAAAGCAAAAGGCGAAATGATGCACAGACAGGCAACTACTAAACTACAGCTATGGGAAATCGTAAAGGTTTAAACCGCCTCATTTTGCTTTAAATGCATATTTGCTTGTGAAAATCAGTAGCATAAAAAGAAGATCACTATTCAATAATATTAATAATAATGAAAGCAAAAAAAAAAATAAAAAAAAAAATAAGGTTCTTTAACCATCCATCTACTGAAAATTGAATTCTTTATTTTGTGTTTCTATTTTGTTTTATATCTTTATATTTATTCATGTTTAATGTCAATTGTCTTTTATTTTTTTGCTATGTTTAATGAAAAGTATACATGCTGTCGTTGTTTTTAAAATTGTATTATAAGACCGGGGGGTATTCCAGAAAGCAAGGTAATCTTACTGTCAAACATACCCTGAACTCTCAGTTGATTAACCCAAACCTTGCTTGAGGTATGCTGAGTGTGTTCACGGTTATCACACCAGACGTTCTCAACAGAGCAACGGATTGAGCGCGCCATACTACTTCTTTCTTCTTCTTTTGTTTAACGTCGATTTACATACTTGCAAATCGCCATATTTGGTGGTTGTGCAATCATTTCAATCATTTCTTTAATCACTGTGAATAAGAAGTATTTCGTTTGTTTGATGCTATTTATATAATAAAAAGAATGACTGCAGAAATTGAACTGAATAATAGTATATGTGCTTGCAAAGATAACACAGCTGTATAAGGTTTTTTTTGCTTCCACATTGTTTGAAAGGTAAGATATATCATGTTTTTTTTATTAAATAAATATTTTATAGCATAGAAAACGTCCTGTTGCAAAAAAAAAAAAGGAAATCTGAATGCAGATCAACGTGACAGCAAGTGTGAGATGAGAATGAGATGTATGTATGCATGCATGTATGTATGTATTTGTGTGTATATATGAAAATAAACTATTACTTAAAAGGTTCTGTACACTCTCAAGGGATATTTACACTCTTAAAAAATAAAGGTTCCAAAGGTTTTTTTTATAGTCTAAAGAACCTTTTCCACTATAACTGACAGTTTGAAAAGGTTCCATGAATGTTAAAAGGTTTTCCTGGAACAATCGATGCAAATAAAATAATCGATTTTTAAGAGTGTAGCACCAAAAACGGTTTTGCTATTGTCACTAACCGAAAAACTCTAATATGGTCCTGTTTATAACCATTTTTCTTATGAAAATAAGTGTGCTCCTATCTGAGATAACGTGGGTTAATAAAATGTACTTTTATGTTATAATTGTTTTTGGTACAAATAAATGTGTCTTGTACTAAAAGATTAAGAATTAAGAAAAAAGTTACGAAAGTAAACTATTTCTTTAATAGAGCACGTATTCAAACTATATGTGTTAAGCAAAGCAACCAAATGAGATGCAAATAGGGTGGGAGAAAAGACAGATTGAAGGAGAGATGTGTAAAAAAAAACAGCTTAGGAACTGTTAGATAGAGGAGCTTTAATTCACATTAGCCTTAAACTGCAGATTTCTTCTTGGCAAACATGGTTGCTAAGGTATCACACTCCATGCTTCTCACTGCAATGTGTTGAACTAACATACATAAATAGTGTGCAATTGGATAAAAAAAAGTACATTTTATTTTGGACAAAAATAATTTAATATATATTTCCACTTATTTCAGCTATATATACTATATCCAGTAAGAATATACTGCTTCAAATTCATAGTTATGTTAATTGACTGCCCACAAATCCATTTTCACTTCAATACAAATATAAACTAATTCTGAAATAATCCATCATATAATATAGAAATCTCTATGTATGTACAATTCATTGACATTCTACTTTTCATTCATGACTGCTGATACGAAACAATCTCAGGCACCTACACGTACATGCATACAGATCACAGCAAAAACCTTTACCGCAAGGGAGTGCAATCCTGCCCCAGCACACCTGCCTGGAAGGGTCTAGGCTGTGCTTGGAATTGTCCCCTGTACCTTTACATAGTGCACAATTTGAAGGGACAGCCACTCGTAGTAGTGTCCAAAACCATTACTCACTCCTTGTCTTTCAAACTTTGAACATTCTTCCATGCAACACAAAAGGAAAAGTTTTGTGATATAGCTAATGAGCATGTCTATCAAGCTCCAAGCACCAGAATAGCATCAAAAAATGATCTGTTTGACCATATAAGTTCTGGGCCTAGTTGTTCAAAGATTTGCATCTGGATCAGAATGATCTGGATTTAGAAATCCCCTGTTTTGCTATCCAGGATCAGTTCATCCATCTTACTTTTGTGCTGGTTTTTGAAAGCAACATTGGATTGAATCAGCCTGAATAGATCGTCACATGCTGTCATCTTGAGACAACGGTATGACATGCCGTAAATGTAGCATGGATTTCCAGCACTTGCTCTAAATGGGACAACATATCACAATGACGTTCTATTCGGAGATGTTCACGTCTTCGGATTGGGAATTATGCGTTTCTATGGAACCACCATCAACGCCTAAATGAATCTGAAGCAGTCAGGTGGTACAGTGGTCACGTGGTACAAGGAGGATCTCTCAAACAATTCCTCAAAACATCTTAAAAGCTGTAATTACGAGCTCTATGAGAATGTGAACGCTTTTTACAAGTTGAAAGCATGTAATTGTGGTAATTCAGCCCGTTCTCATCCCAAGGCGTCATCTAACTGACGCTTTTGACCATGCGTCAACATGCCGACGCACATGGTACCCCTTAAGCGTCAATATGAGACGCGCCTCCTAGTGGTCTAACCCTAACCCTACCCCAGACCTAAACCTACCCATAACGGAAGCGTCATCTAACTGACGCTAAAGGGTGCCATGTGCGTCGGATTTAGACGCATGGTCAAAAGCGTCAGTTAGATGACGCCCGAGGATGAGCGTCTCATATTGACGTTAAGGGGTACCATGTGCGTCGGCATGTTGACGCATGGTCAAAAGTGTCAGTTAGATGACGCCTTGGGATGAGAATGTGTTGGGTAATTACGACATGGTGTGAATGCACCTCTAGATTTGGTAATCATGTTTGTATCAGGCTGATTCAATCCTATGTTGCTTTCCAAAACCAGCACAAAAGTAAGATGGATTAACTGATCCTGGATAGCAAAACAGGTTGCTATGTAAAAAACAACAGGTAGAACACTCAGCGTAAAACGTGCATTTGAACACTCCACTCCATTTACCTGGGATGCGGGATGGAGAAACTGTGAATGTCACACTCGAGTTGACCGCGTTAACGGATCAGAAAACTAAGATGGAACACATAACAAGCAATATTTTGCACAGATACTGCTGAAGTAGCATGTCCACAGAGGTTGGATCATACTGTGTGGACCACTGAGTTTATTGAGACAGAGACAAACAGAAGTGCTAATAAACAATATTTCACAACTGTTTCACTATGGTTGATGTGCTGAGCAGCCATGCCGGGGTTGTTGCGCTTCCCCTGATTTTCCCAGTCACAAATCCTACTTGAGGGGGCGTTCCAGTTAAAAGTTCCTACTGGGGCCTGCGAATTTCCCATGTCCGAGGACAAATGGAACAGACCATTAGACCCCTCATCTGATCCACAACAAACAAATAAAAATATACAAGCAATGAGGGATGCAATTGTTAGAAACTGCTTTTGACTGCTTCATTTCTAATGATCATTCACAATTAAAATTAAATGCCTTTTGACATCTATAAATGTGTCAAAGATACAAACATTGTAATATTTGACCAAGTTCTATTACATTTTGTTCCTGAAATGCATCCTGAATGCACCCTTCTGCTGAGATCTGGATAATCCAGATTTCTTTTGGATTAAAAGTATCTTACTTCAAAGTTTTCCACAACACATACTGAAGGTTTGATCCAAATCAAAACCAAGATTGGATTATGTGATCTAATCCAATTTTAGAATCCCTTTTTTCTTCTTCTTTTGAACAACCCATTTTCAAGATTTGATCCAATCAATTAACCGAAATCTGATCAAACTTTCGAACAACTGGGCCCTGATGTCATATGATAGCTTTGATAGAAGAACAGAGCAAAATTAAAGTCTTTATTCACAAATTTAATATTATTATTATTTTTGGAGCTTAACAGCCACTAGTCACTGCATGCTTTCATCATATGAAAAATAGCAGCTTGGACATTCTCCTAAACATCTTTTTTGTGTTTCATTGACAAAACTAAGTCACATGGATTTGAAACAACACAACGACAGAATTGTCAAATATTTTCAAACTTTTCCTTTAAAATACAAACAAAACACAGAAACTGAAATATGAGTGGCCAAGTAAACCGACCCAACTGTATAGCTTCACCTGCGCAGCCTGCAGTCAATGCGCAATTCTTCAATTCCTCTCTTTTGCTGCATTTAGAGTATTGCACATTCAGCGCTTGCTATCAAAGCACAAGCCTCAAGTCTCCAGATCCAATCCACATAATACCCTTGTGCCTGGCTTTGACATTTTCACTGATAAACAAAAAGCTTTGTTCTTTCTATTCTAAGCTTGTCAAAGCCTGAATTATTCCTTTTCAAAGAGGAGTGGCAATCAAAGTGTAGTACGGTGAGGTGATAAATCGATTGAATTGATATCTAGGCTTACAGCGGGGTGCAAGACCAGCACTAGGACATGATGCCAAAGACTGGATTGTGGCGACAGATTCTGGGTCCATATTCCTCGTAGTCCTTCTTAGAGTGGCAGACATGGAAGAACTCGGGCTATAGAATGTTAAGAAAGGGACATGAATCAGTGGTTAAGTGATAAATATATTCAAAAAAGAGACTGTGACATATACTGTAATGAAATATCCTGTGTGAGCATTACCGTAGAAGCCAACATGGATCCCCCAAACCACACGGCGTATCGCTGCATGTGATGAGATATTACCTGCACCTCCATGGGCTTGGGCTGGATGAGGAATCAGATGTATTCAAAGAATGTCACTATGTATTCACCAACGTCTCTAAAAACATGTTAGGAAATAAATAACGGATCTGCAATTTATGGAAGTTAATTACATCTTGCAGCGTTAATAAGGTTACTAATGCGACTATATGTACACTGTTTTTTTATATTCTTACGGGTCTAAATAATAAAAACATTTAAAAAGGTTCTGTTTATTAAGCATCCAATAAAAGGTACCAGACAAATACTTTATGCATTAAAACTATTTTTTTTGTTTTACCAGCTTATGTGTGTCTGTATACAGTATGTACTCTAGTATAATATGTATAATATGTATCCAGTATATTTAAAATATTTCCACTCAAAATTTACAAACACTTGAAATGAAAAGCGAAGTGAAGGGAATCCAAGTAAATGCATATATAATATTCTTTGAAATGCTTATGTGTGCTCTTTTAGGAATGTAAAAATATACTGTATGATGTTATTATTTTTTACCACTTTTTTTTCCAGGCAATGTTGCCTCGCGGGGCTGTTACATAAATGAAAAATAAAATAAAATAAATAATTGTGGACAAATTGAGGCATTATAAGAAGCAGGATAGTTAAGGGGCTGTGTACACGACACTGTTTTCAACTAAAAACTGAAAACCTTTTATGCGTTTTAGCCTGAAAATTCAAAGTAAAAAAAATAAAAATACTGTTATCATCTATGTAAACTACAAAAACATGAATTTGTGAAAACGGTGATGTCATGCGCATGCGTTAACGTCTTCAGTCTATAGGCTGGTAGTGTTATTTTACAAAGTGACATCTCCAACTACTGGCCTGGCATACATAACACAACACTTTTAGTAGTTTTTACAGGTCCATTTTTGATAATGTTATCATCTGTGTGCGAAAAAAGCAAAGGAAAAGATGTAAAACAGAGTAAGTATCCAAAACGCACTACAACACATGATGATTGTGAGTGTGGGGTGAGAAATTCGGAGACATTAATGAGATCAGACCTTTATTCTGCCGCCGCTGAGCTCCTCACTCAGTCTGAGTCTGGCGTCCACCACGCGCTTCAGGTCCCGCTGCAGCCTGCGACCAAAGTCCCGAAACATGGTGGAGCCTCCCGACAGCACAATGTTCTAATGCACACAAACGCACACACAATTCTGATATATCTGTGTTTTCATTATGTTCACCCCCCCCCCCCCCCCCAAAAAAAAAAAACCCATATAACTCAAGTATATAAATCATGGAAAAATTAATGCAAAAGCATCTATAAACATGCACAAATTTGCTTCTGTTCGAATGGACTCATTATGACAAAGACAAAGCATCACCGCTCTACTATCCCTGTGCTGAGAAAAACTATTTAAATACAAATTTAATCAAAATAAAATCCACAACACTACAGAAATTAAATCACTGAAATGAAAATAAAGAAACCTCCTTGGTAATAGCAAATTATTCTAAGAAATGCAATTCTGTGGAAACAAGTAATAGTTCAGTTTTTGTCCACATAAATCTTAAAGTCCACGGAATGTTTTCATTAAAAATAAATAAACAAATAAAACCAAAATATAGCTTTTTCACATATACTTCTGCAATAAACTACTGTTACATTGTCGGCAAAGGCCAGTAGAGTTGCATGCTGGGAATAAATGACCATGGGCCGACTGAGGTCAGCTTATAACAGGGTGTCTGCAGGAGATGTGAGTTTCATTACAGGGCTCAGTCCTCACTTAACGAACTTGAGGAGAGCTATTCTGCGATTTGGATTAGGACATGCTAGTTCTCTATCTAGGGAATAAAAGGCTGGCTTTCTCCATCTTTACTGATGAGTTTAAAAAAGTGGATGGACTGTGGTAGTGGACCCTTTCACTGAGGTAAACAGCTTTCAATCTACAGTACAATGCAGACCAGAAGCTGGTAAGAGACCAGCACCTTTATTTCCCTTATTTCTCTTTTCTTTGGTGAACTTAAAACTACATTTTCATAATTCAATTTATTCATAATTCATTTCTCTACCTGAAGACTTGATCCCCCCCTGCAGAGGATAATCAAATAATGTCAATTTAAACTGCAAAAATGGCACAGAAGTGCTTCTGACGTGGCATTTAAGTGTCTTTACAATTTAATGCTGCTCAAAGGTGGAATAAATACATTAACACTGCAATTACAACTGCATACGTTTATACCAGTTTCAGTCAGAGAAGGCATCATTTAGTCTGGCTTTAATGTGGTATTACGCCTTTACACTGAATTTTGAGCAGGCACAGAACAGCCTGTAAATATATTTCCTCTGATTTGATGAAAGACTTGTGACATTGTGCAGCTTTTACAGTTCACAGATTTAAATGGCAGATATCTACAAAATCGATCCGTGTACTCAGTCCTACATCTCAGGCATCTACGCTAATGTTAGTCTTTCTGTTTATTCTGAGGTTTACTGAAGTCAGCCGGATCCGGGCCGGATCCAGATCAGATGGTGGACCTGCGCCTGGACACGACCACAACGCATCCCTGAAGTGCCAGCCTCATCAGCCCTGTGAAGGCCTCATCGACACGACAGCCATCGGCACTGATCCTCAACAAGCTCGTCTCCATACCGGCGTGATGACTCCGACTTCCAACCAGATGGAACTGGATAAATATTCTGAATGTTCTGATCCAATCTGACTTCTGACATGTAATGCTGCCTGAATCATTATCATGTTTGCTCGTTGGCCAGAGGAGAACTGGCCCCCGACTGAGCCTGGTTTTTCCCAAGGTTTTTTTCTCCATTCTGTCACTGATGGAGTTTTGCTTCCTTGCCACTGTTGCCTTGGCTTTTGGCTTGCTTAGTTGGGGACATTTAATATTCAACAATATTATTGATCTGCCTTACTTAAGGTGGACAATGATGCAATTTTCTTCTAGAAACAAACTTTGTTGTATTATTTTCATGTTATCACTGTGAAGCTGCTTTGATACAATCTGTATTATAAAAAGCCCTATATAAATAAAGGTTACTTGACTTGACTACATCAAGTGTGAACATGTAAAAGAAAAATGTTTCACGTTGACTTTATTCTAGTCCAAAGCATAAAAATGCAATTGAAAACCTCCCTTGCATGCTGGGAGAAATATTGGTATATTTAAGGTCTGAAAGCACGATGGGAATTGCTATTGTGTGTGAGCATACTGTAGTTCTTTTGTAACTTCCTTCAGCCCACTCCAATATTTGTTTTAAAAACTTCAAAATACTGATGATATATGAAAATAATTCCAGGTTTTTCAAGTGAAATCCTGTAGTGCTTGTTATTTGTAGAGGAAATAACAGAACTGGCTTGGGTAGCCATAAACTTTGCAGTTGTCAGAACAAAGTTTCCGTGGCATAGCCTAAATGTCACTGCATGCAATCTATGTCGGGGAGATAAACATTTGTTCAAAGCAAAAAAAAAAAAATAGCACTTCCAATAATGAAATATGCCTACATGCCAAACACAGAGCTTTCATTATAGAGGAGAGACAGCCTCAGTTATCTTGCACTAATGCAAAAGAAATTTAATAATACAAAATAACAATGCAAAAATGTAAAAAGTTACTTTTTACAACAAGTAAAACAATATTGTAATATGTTCATTTAAGAAGCAACATTCTCTAACACAGATGGCTGATTTAATTTCTAGAGACAACCCTAGATGAGCCGATCGCTGCTCAGCGCCCTTTGTTGATTAGTTTACTTTTGCTGCCAAGATTTTTTACACCTCAAGAAATGGTGGCAGAAAAAGAAAATAAAACTAAAAAAGCATGAAAGCACTTTCCACTCAAAATCCAATTCCTTCAATATAGTCCACAGTGAAGCTTCTTTCGTAGGCAAATGAATAAGAATAATTTCTGTGCAAATTATTGCAGATGTGCACTAATTATAAGTGTGCATAATTGAATTTGTCAAGACACTGTTTATTCAGGCTGAGAGTTGTGAGATATAGAAATGGATACTGAGGTTATTTCAGAGCTGTTCAGTCCCATTTGCGGGGATCAGTTAAAGCTCTCTCTATTCCAGACAATTTAGATTAATTGTGAACAGAGTGGATACACACTGACCCCTGTTGGACAAATAAAAGAACTGATCCCACTATGAAAACTATAAACCATAATAAAAACGGCAATATACAGTCAAACGGGTGACTGAACATGCACTTTAATGAAATGCAAGAATGACTAATTTTCTTTGAATGAAGTGACTTTCTCTTACAGATATGGGTGTGTGGTGAGCTCCCATTAACCTGTTTTATTGATTAAACAATAGACAGTATAAAGGTAAGGAAAACAGAGAAAAACGAACAGAACAAATTGTAACACTCAGTATTGTGAAACATTGCCACAATGCTCTCAAACTATGTTACTGATAGACAAACAAAGTTTCTACCATTTCTGTTTTCAAAAGGTTTTGTTCTTTTTTTGAAGTGTGCTGTCCTTTCATTCTTCTTGGTTTCTTTTTGGACAAGCACCTGCTCTTAGGTTTTTTTGGATGTGCACACTGTAAACTACTGTGTCGCAATTGCGAGTTCATACTTTTTTCTCAGAATGAGAAAAATATATAGCATGTCAATGGCTGGCCTAAATGATCTCCAGTTATCTTGGGCAAATGTTCACTCAAACACTAATTACTTAATGCGGTTGTCATTTCCTATAATGTAATGCAAATTTACCAGGATACAAATTTTTGGAAGTGCTGAGTGGAGTTTAACACTCCTTTCCATTGAAGCTAAATGGAAATCTTGAATAATCAAGTAAACGTGAATGGGGTAAATTTACCCTTCTCTTGTAGTATAACGGTAATAGGAAATCAATGATGAACTGTTTGGTTAACAACATTCTTCAAAATATCTTTGTTTGTGTTCCACAAAGACATGCATAGATAATCTAATTTGCGTAAAGAAAAGAATACCATGTTTGGACATTGCTAGAATTATCTGTACTGTTAACAGAACCTGTACACATGTCATCATCTGATTTCCCATATGCTTATACTGTACGTACTAGTGTTTCTGTATCCTAAGTTAGTTCAAGGCTGGATCCTCTTTTTCATTTCTACCACCTTTGGAAGTGTGGAGTGTCTTTAGTAAACTCTCTGTCAACTGATTGAATGTCAACTTTGACTCCTGGTCTTCATTAAGAATATTGGCTCCTCAACAAGCCTCACTATCAAATAATAACATTTCCAAAATATTGTATACATTTATATTAAAGAGAACCACTGAAATTGCATGGTGATAAAAGTACCTTGTAAAGTGGTCTTCTGACATCTATAGGGCAGTTCTGAATGACTTCATCCACTACATCTGAGATGGGCTGCAAGAAGTCTGGGTTGGCAAACTGCAGAGTGCAAAGACATTTTACTACAGTTTCCAAAGGTCATTCTGGGAATACATGTTGAATAATTCAGAAAGTGTGGCATTTCTACCTCAGGGTGAAAAAATATCTCTGGTCCCAGAAAACGCTCATATCCGACATCTATTAGAAATTCATTTTTGCTGATAGCATTGATTCCCTTGTATTTTTTTATCCATTTGTCAGGGTCCATATCATATTTTGTGAATTCCTTCACTATGTCTGGACAGATGTAGCAATACCTTTCCTAAAAAATCAAAGAAAACAATAGAGTATTACAGATAAGGAGTACAAAAGTTGTATTACATATAAATATGATAGAGTAAGTGTGACACTACTGATTTTTTTATTTATTTCAAGGGTTTACAGAATATCATATCACTCTGATTCATATTATTAAAAAAAGAAAACATGTGAAAGAGAGAAATAGGAGGCTAAGTAAGGGATAATGTATAGTCTGCTGGCTATTATAATAAAAGTAACCCAGACAAGGTATTCAGAACCTCTGCACTGACTGTACATTGGACAGTCATATTGGAATGAGTGAAATATAAGTTTACTGGTCATTATATACAAATATTTGACCATTCAATATCACGACTAACCAATCAGAATGAGGAATGCCAGAGAAAGGAATATCATCCCTGCTGTTACCCACTTTAACAGCTTTTGCGGTCTCCAGTGACTGTTCTGGAGGAACGCCGATCTCTCTATCTCTTAGCAGCTGCTGAATAAAGTAGGTGATGTCTCTTCCTGCTATAGGGATGTGCTTTATACAGCTGCCAATCACATAACCTTCGGCCTAAGAGATAAAAACAAACAGAAATCAGCCATCTAAATTGTTGAGGAAAGCTCCAGCAGCATTTGTTTGCAGACCACTTGATCTAATACAATGAAATCCATGCATTTTTGCCTTATATATTACTTTTCATAGCATTGTATGTATTTCTGTGTTGATTACCACTGGTATGGCATGAGTGACCCCATCACCGCTATCAATCACGATTCCTGTCAGTGTTCGTTTTCCAACCTGTTTTGAAGTCCATGATGCTGCCAATGCCAAAACAGCCTGAAAAATGGCCACATAGATAAATAAGTTGCTGTTTCCATGCAGAATACAAGACTTTGTCCAAGGTGAATGGTCCTAAAGTTTACCTTGGATAGGATACCTTGGATTTTTGCAGACTGTAGGTCAGTGATATGTAATAAAACGGGACATGGAACTATATGGAAACTAAAACAAACAATATATTGACATTTTGAACCAGCCTTAAAAATAGCTTGCATCAGTGCAAACCCCCTTTTTGGCGTTAAACAACTACAATCAGGATTTACTAAAGACACGCAGTATTAAATAACAGTAGTGATGGAAAAGTGTGGACATGGCAGAAAAGTAGAGACTGACAATCAAATGAGAGATAATGTGCAGAAATATTTGTATGCTATCAAAGTGCGAATTACTGAAATAATGGGTCACACTATTGACACTACCTGAGCAGTTGAATGAAATACACAAGAACATTATGTAAGTTTTTAAAATGCATGTGCATGGTTCAGTTGAAAGTTGACTTGCTATTAATGCTGCCAAGATGAATGTATAAAACAAACTGTCTCTATCAATCAGATGAGAGTTAATGCTGCATTAGTCACTATAGCAAGTGTAGGTTCCGGTCACGATTATGTTACGGGTAATCTGTGTCAGTTTCTGTTTTTGGGTGGGTTGGATACATGTTCTAATTTTGTTTCTTGTGTTTGAGTTCATTGATTTGATTACCAGTTGCACCTGTTGTTCATTTTGTTGATTAAATTGTTGTATTTAAGCCCTGTGTTTTGTTCAGTTCATTTGTCTGTTCTTGTCCGATTTACCTATTGTTCTGTTCCAGTTTATCTAGTCTAAATACTCCGGAGTATGTTGTTTCTTTGAGTTTTTTTTGTTAATAAATCATTACTGCAGTGAATAGATCAAGCTCTTTTCCCTTATTTTTGCAACCGCTGCTGGCAGAAGAACAGATTATACAAATGGATCTAGTGGCTGTTCGTATCCTCCTCCCATCCCAGAGGAACCGTTCCCTCGAGAGACACATTTTTAGACCTTCTCCATCTGGTAAACTATACGATGATGATAAACTATACGCCTCAGTGTGTTTTTCCGGATAGGGCTCAATGCTTCCAGTTTGTGGACTGGATCCTGGTTCACTGAGGATTCCCCTTTACCATTGTCGAGATAGTGAAGGATCATCTAACCACAGTTCACGCTGTGCACTTTGAGCCATCTGCCACCACCGTCCCAAAGGGCATAAAGCTAGAGCCCACTGTGGGCACAGAGCCTGCCGTGATGCCAAAGCCAACGTCTAAGCCATATATCACCCCAGAACCAGAACCTGAGCCTAAAGCCATATTCGGATGGGATTGGTTTAACATGGAGAGGTGCGGTAAAGTAATTCTCACCAGAGCTTCTCAGTGATTTTAGTCCCGTCCGAATGTACCATCTCAGTAATCATTATGGACAATGTCAGTAAAGATTACAGCAACTTTTACCTTCTGGAAAAAGGTCTGGAAAAATTACCTCAGGTAATACTAATCCCGTGCAAATAGACCCGCTGTAAATATGTACGTAAATATTCTGTCATTTCCTGTTTAAAAGTAGTTTTCCACAGTTTTTCCAAGTATGGTGCTTGAAAAAGTATTCAGTTGCGTTCTAGGCGGTGGGACTGTGACAAAGCTTTTGAATGGTAAGTGTTTTCCACATACCATTCAGATCAAAAAGAAGGTCGAAAGCACTTGTTAGAGGCACGAAGGTAATTGTCTTTTACCAACATAATCCAATCTGAACTTAATTAATACATCGTTCGACCAGACCTAACCGTTTTATATATATATAAATATAGGCTATATGTGTTTGCGCACGTGATATCAGGAAGCAACATAATACGCACATGACGACAGGAAGATGACGGCGGTGCTTAATCGAGTTACCCCTCCCATGCACTTCTGCTAGTTTTACTGAGATTTCTTATCCAATGCGAATTAGTATTATTACAGACGTCCTGCGGTAAAATTACAATACTCAATCTACCCTTGTAAAAACTAATCCCGTCCGAATAGGACTTAACACATCTGACCAGGTGCGTGAGCCGGCAAAAATTCACCAAGGGAATACTGGTGGAATATGAGGGGATGTTGTGGACAACATCGTCAACAAAGGCTGATGTGGATGTGCTGAACTGTTTGATTTGAAGGAGAGCACAAATGTTAGCACACTGCCTCTTTCGCCCTCCTGCACCGAGCCTGTTTCGTCACCCAGCGATGAGTTCCTGATGTCTTCGATATTCCCGCCCTGCCTCCCACTCCCACCGCCTCTGCCTGTTCCGAGTCAGCCAAGAGAGACGTTCCTGAGAATTCTGCCTGTTCCGCATCGGCCAAGGAGGCCTTTTTTTGTCTTATCTTTTTTTACCTGACTCTTCACTGTTCCCCTTCGAGGGAACTCGAACTGCGTCATCGTTGTGACACTTTGGGGAACGCCCCCAGCGTAGCGCATCTGAAGCATGAATGAAATCTGTCCAATCCTGATTGGTGCTGCGTCATGACGTAGTAGATGACGGCATAACCGGAAGATACAAAGGTACGCTTGGCAAATACAAACACTAGCTTTTCGCTCTTCAGCTGAAGCGCTCTGTGTGACTGTTTGTCCTATTTACTGTTGTCTGTCCTTATTATCATAAGCAGTATGTCTAGTAGGGCTGCAACAACTAATCGATAAAATCGATAATAATCGATTATGAAAATCGTTGTCAACGAATGTCATTATCGATTAGTTGGTCTGCTTACGTCACAGGGAGCGTTTACTGGTGATTGGTTGAAACAGGCCAATCAGGATGCTCTCTGTCTTACACGCGCTTCATGAGACACACACGCAAGGTCTCTCTCCCTCCGTTGCTCTGCCGCGCGCTCGCGCTACACGGTTTGGAGCACAGTCTCTTCTGTCTTGCATGCGCGCTCTTGCTTGCGCGCTCAAATCCCGGGAGTTTGAACTAATTTGCGAGCATCAGGGAGGCGCTATCAATATGCGGGTGACTTCCAGAACTTCCGGGAGACTTGGGATGTCTGTATTTTGTGTCTCGAGCATCAGGTTGCGCAATCAGTTCGCTCGCAACATAAGTGATGGATTAAAATAGTGCTACCGCAGAAATATTAAATTAAAACGGTCTTTACAAAGCGAAGCACTAAATATAAAGGCAGTTAATAACAGCAGCAGTAAATTATTGTTTTTTTAGTCACTGTACTCAGTGGTTTTCAGCGAATTTTTGTGCACTAATGCATCATTTTTCCTGTCTTTTTAATCAAGCCTGTTAGCTTGCAGCGTACCTCCATTACGTTCTCTTTATATAGCATTTGTCTACTATTAAGTTTTAATTGTTTTTCAAACGCGATCTACTGCGGCTCTGTTCACACGCTTGTTTTCAGTCTTTCTGTATTTATTTTTACAAATTATCCTTGTAATTCAATTAATTTTAAATAAAAATGAAATGAATTATATATTTGAGATGTTTTTAGTTTATATCTTCACATCTGAACAACATGTCTGTAAATTTGTTTAAACAAAAATTGTGTTAAAACAATATGTTGGATATAAATGTTTTTTTTTTTACATTAATCATGGTTGTCAACTTGCCATCAGCAATTATCATTAAAAACAATGCAAATATTGATATTTGTAAAACTCAATGTGTGGCTTTTGCACTTTTTAAAGTACACTTTTACACATAAATATCCTAATTTAGGGTTTTAGGTAACACTTTATTTTACGGTGTCCTTGTTACATATGTTACATGTACTTACTGTAGTAATAACAGTAAATTATGCATAATTACATGCAACTAACCCTCAACCTAATCCTACCCTATTTCTATAGTAAGTACATGTAGTTACTTAATATTACTCTGTACTTAAATATATAATTACACTGTAACAAGGACACCTTAAAATAAAGTGTAACCGGGTTTTATTTAGTCATAATAAACAAAAAATCGAATTGAATTTATCCGATTAATCGATTAATCGAAAAATAATCGTCAGATTAATCGATTATCAAAATAATCGTTAGTTGCAGCCCTAATGTCTAGCGAGCAGTTTAGACGGTGTGTGCATCCGTGTCCACGCTATATTACGGGCACGGACACACACCAGCTGTGTGTGCATTGTCTGGGCGTGCAGCACGCTAGAGCGGCTCTCGAGGGAGCCGCTTGTAGCGAGTGTGAGAAGCTGCCGCTCAGGGCTTTGCGCTCGCGGCTGGCCGTGTTTGATGAGTCAAGCGGCCAGGTTCACGAGCCTCGCGTTTCTGGGCCCGCGGTTGCCGAGGCAGCGCGGCGCCGCAGATCGTGGGGCTCACAGATGGATCTTTCAGCGGGACACGGGACTCCTTCGGCATCTGCCCGATCCTCGTCTGAAGATTCAGATGTTTTCCCGCCCCGTGAGGAAGCCCGCGATGCGGTTTCTTCCCACGAGGTGGATGAACAGATGCTTCATCTATCTGGTTCTGAGGAATCAGATGAGTTGAGCATCGGGCGGGTGATGTGGAGCTTAGTTCAGAAACGCTTCACGCACCCGCTCAAGAGGAGCTGGTGGAGGTTCTGACCCGCGCTGTGGCCAAATTAAAATTAGACTGGCCACAGGAAGAACCAGAAGTCCAGCCGCCTAGTAAGCTGGATGAACGGTTTTATAAGCGCCGGTCTCAACCTCCACCTTCCGTTTTTCCCTGACTTGCACAATGAGTTGTGCAAGTCGTGGGAAAAAAACGTTTTCAGCCAGGCTCTCCAACCCCCCAGTGCTCGATTTTGCTAATGTGCTGGGGGCGGCTGAGCGTGGCTATGGGAAAATACCTCGGGTGGAGGAGGCTCTCGCGAGCTATCTTTCCCCCGAGGCTGCTTCTTCCCTTAAGGCCCCGGTACTGCCCACCAAGCCATGCCGAGATACTTCCTCGCTGGTGGGCAGAGCTTATATGGCGGCTGGGAGGGCTGGTAGTTGCTTGCGCACTATGGCGGTCTTGCAAGCCTATCAAGCTGACCTCCT